CATAAGAGAAAGGGTGTGTGTATATGTGTGTTTGTGTGCCATTAGTGCCCCATTTATGTGGCTGTGGTGGTGATGTGTGCGAGCGGGCCTAATGCCTGCGTGTCTGCCCTGTTAAAATGCCTTTTTAAAACAGGCGCGCAAAGCATTTCCTAAGCTCTGCAATTTGCGGCGCCTCCGCAACGGAAATGATAAATTGACATTTGTTAAAGGGGAGGATGGCGGCTGCTTCCGGTGTACGGGATACTTTCCCGCTTTGCTCCATTTTCCTCTACCCTATTTCCGCACTTGATCCTTGTGTAATATATTTCCATCCATCGTTCTCCGCTTCAGGTTTGCCTCGTTATTATTGTCACTGCTTTCTGTGTTTTTATGGTACAGCTTCCGCATTGACTGTTGATGCTACCCTTGGGATTTTAGGACATTCTTATGTGAGGATGTGTTCCGCGAAAGGATTTCGCTTATTGGAGTTGAGCTGCGGCTTCTCCTTATTGGAAATCCCTTTAGGAGAGTCTTATTTAAAGGTTTACTAAGCTAGGTGATTTTTTGTTTAATTTACCTTATGGTTTTTTGTTAGATTAGATTTGAAATTTTATTATTATTATTATATATTTCTATAAGGAAAAGAAAGTATATGAAAGAATATTAATCTTTAAAAATAAAACCTTAGGAAATGTCTTATAATATTCCTACTTTTTTTTCTAATATAATGATTTATTGTTCGATACATTTCCCTTTCTTTTAAAATACATATTAAATGTTTTACATATTTTCTTGCTAGATAAATATCTTCCTTTTCCTTTAAGATAATTTCTGACATCAGAAATATATATTATTATAACTCTTATCTATTCATTTTTCTTTCCTATCTTTATAAATCTCTACTTTTTATATAAAACCCAAGACGTTTTCAATTTCTCTTTGGAAGTACACCAGAATTTGCTTACTTCAACTTTTTGTGGACTGGCTTATGAATTTATTATGTAGCAATTGATATGCCCACATTATTTATGATCCTTATCGGTGGAGTTTGACACAACATCCTCGTATTGTCCTGGCTTTTGTCACGGCCCGTAAATGTATGCGCATATAATTTGTATTTTTGTGCTTTTGCTACTGATACATATATTACAGGCAAATAGGGGCTTTTGAATAAACCAAAAACAGGGAAAGAATCCCCTTAGCTAGCTGTGAATAATTGGAAACGATTATTTGTTATTGTGTTTTATGGGCTGGAATGAAAAATCTTTAAAGCTGAATTTATGGAAGCTAATTTTGGATTGTTATTATTTAGCTTGACTCATCAAAATCAGGAAAATGACTATAATTCCAAGATAATGACTTATTTACCCCTCTACTGCTCCTAGTGATTTCCTATTTATGAAATTTCCTAATTAGGCCAAGGATACCGGAAATAGGCTGTTGTTAGTTATTTATAAAACTCAACAAAGTTCTTACCCCTCAAAGAACTAGTTTCAAGCACGCTTACTGAACCGAAAATATAATTCTATGTCTGCTCCACTTTTTGGAATTGAGTATATAGCGTACTGGCGTGTGTTTCTACTAATCAAGAGCACACAACATAAGGGCTAATTGCACAAAGCCAATGCCAGACAGTGCCCCCTGCTATATACTACCATCATTATTGTTCACAAATTCGAAATTCCATCCCCAAACCACGATCCAATGAAATGGCCCCGAGCAGCCAAACAGGCGACTAATGAAGTGCCATCCATTGTTATCCTCAAACATGATAATGGTTATTACGTACATGTGCATATATCCTATAATATATATATATTATACGGATAATGGCAAATTTAATTAAAAAAAACTGTGTGTTCTTCGCAGGGCAGGGTGTATATTTGTTGGGTGCCACATTACGTATACGTCATGTTTGAACAGTATTGACAGCTGAGAGGGCCGTGTTGCTTTCGCGCGGAAAATAAGTCAAAGCCACTTTCACATTCACATTCACATTGACGTTCCTTCGCAGCCGAGTTTCCTTGACAAACAAAGCGGAAATTGATTGTATTACCAGCAACAACAGCAGGAACAGGGGGTAACATTGTATGTTGAGGGCAGCAAAGCATAAAGTAGCAATCGAGCATACAAACACCAATACCACCATCACCATCATCGTCCTTATGCCAGGACAATAAACTTGGCGCCGCCAATTCCTATCCACCCTATCTCGCTAAATTCCTCATAAGCCTTTTCGACGGGGCGCTCGTCCATAAATTGGGTCTACTTTTGCACGGTTGAATATTCACAAATTGATGCAAAATCCGATTGGTAGCCAAAGGACCTTGTAATCCCCATGAAAAACCTTGATGAGCTGATAAGTGCAGGTATATTTTTGGGCCAGGATTAGGCAAGATTTGCAGTTGTTAAAATGAGTTTAAAGCTAAATTTGGAGTTATTTAAGGTGGTTTTTTCTGGGATTAATTTTTTGTATAGGATAGAAAAGGTGACTTACACTTTCTTTGCTTTGCTTGTTATTTTTCAAGTGTCTACATAACTTATAACTTATTAACATAGCATTCCTTTTACTTCGTATTCCTTTATTTCTTCTATACTTCCTTATCAGGGTATTCCATAGTCGTATCTCTACTTTTTCTTGACTTCTAAAAGGATATCGTGTCTGATGGCTCTTTTACTTATTTTTGTGCCTAGCCTTCTTTATACAATTAAGTTGATTATGTTTTTGTTGCTCGGCAAATTTGGGAATAATTGTGCTAGTCCCAAAAATAAAAAAAAGAAGGAAAGAAAAGGCGGAGGCAAGTTTCCCTGATTAAAAGTTTAGGGAAACAAGTTGAGGCAGGCAGCCGTCTGTGCGATGTCTAACTTTGAGTAGACTTTACTTAGTCCTGTCAGAGTGCTCCCCAATGTGTGTGTGTGTGTGTGTGAGCCAGGACTTGTTCTTGTGCCGATGTGTTAGTGCCTTGACATTTGCCAGCCTTGCCTCATAATGCTTTTATGTTTCGAGCCCGGCGGCCTGCACAGGGAAATGAAAACTGCTGGAGCCAAGCTAATTCCATAATGAATTTCTCAAGTCTGGCCAAGGGGCGAAATGTTGGTGCTGCTGCTGTTTATTCTCTCTGTGCTCTATGTGAACGAGTATATAAGTTATATACACATAATCGATATTGTTTCCAAATTTATTGGCTGCCTACTTCTGGGAGGGAGTAATGACGTTTCAGTTTCAGCCAACAAAACTTATTTTCGGGGATTGAATGGCAACTAAACGGAAAAGTTTGTATATGGCCCAAAGCAAAGGATATCCTATTTGTGGCCTAATCTGCTTTGGTTAAAGCTCTTAATGGCCAGGGAATAGCCATTAATGTTTGAAGAATTAAAGAGCTAGTTTATAAAGTTAAATATTTCTTTTCAACTTATCTTAAAGTTTAACGATTTTCCCATAAAAACTAAAGTGCATTCAGCGCATCTAGAAGTTTTTTTTAATACAGGAAACAATTCATATATTTCAGTGAGACAAAGGACTCTTATCAAAGACTTTATCTCTTCTCAGGTATTCAAATTTTATTGCGTACTCTGAAGCATACTTATCCCCCGAGTTCAACTTTGGCCAAACTCCACTTGGCAATTTTTTTATGCCATAACTTTGGCCGGAAATGGCACTTCACAGGCAAAGGAATAGGGAAATATATATACAAATACAAAAGACAAATCTAGACACATTATAGTGCCTTGATTCAAGAGCTAGCATTTCATTTTGGGGGTAAAAGTTTTGCTTTTCTTAAATAAGGCACAACTTTTCGCTATTCCAGCACTCTTTATGGCTATTTATATGATTAAAAAGTTGTGTGTGCAGGAAATTAGCTGAAAATTTATGATATTGCCAGGGCGTTAATGGCGGAGGGTTACAGGGGGAGGTTCAGTGACAAAAGGCACTTGAAACATGCCTAAGGACGTCAAGCGGAGGCGGTGGCGGTGTGCGTGTTGCGGTGAAATTGACTTGTATAAACAAATATTGCGTATACGCAGCGTTTTCATTTATGATACATTTACGATTGCGTGTGTCTTGTCCATGTGAATTGTGAATGTGCAACTGCTCTCAACTCCCCCGCTTCTAGAACACATTTAATTCAACCACTTCATTATCCTCTTCTTCTGATTGCATCATTTTACATAATTTATTATTACATAATATCCAAATATATATTAATTGCTTTTCTTCTGTATTTATCTCTGTACACCAACACACATGACTTTTTTGATAAATGATACCCAAAAATAAAAAAATTAAACCCAATTATGATGAAGAACCGGAAGTGGAGATACACATACCACATCACCATCATCATCATGGCAGCAAAAAGATCCGTCGAAATCCATTGAAAAACTTGGATCTCGACTTTAAATTCGATGTGAATTCGTTTTAGCCAACAACAAAGCCCTCAACCGGTGTGTGATTAACCAAAAGATATATCCTAGAATGCCTTGCCATAATGGTTTCTATCTAGCCTGGGCAATTGGCGGATATACGAGATATCTATTTTAGCTAGAGATTACTATATATGCTAACTGTGTGTCGCTGTTGTTGTTAATTGTTGTTGATGTTGTTGATATTGTTAATGAAATTGTTGGTGTTAATACTAATCTCAAAGTGTAGTCGAGAAATAGGCAGAAGTTGCACGTTTTTAAACTGTTTTTCCCTAGATTTTTCCCAACAAACTCGTTATAAATTAGCATAAACTTTAATTGGCATGTTTTCTCTCTTCTCTAAACTAAAGATTTTCTAAAACTTCAAATCTAACATTTGTAGCTGGCAACAATTTTTCTAAACAACCATAAAAAGCTTTTCTTAAAGCTTTATGCTATAAATTTTCATTCGTTACTAACCAAAATTTCCCTTTATAAGCATCCATAAAATCCCTATATTAGAAAGTTGACTGTTACTTGTGATTTCTTTGTGTGTTTCAGTTGCATTTCCTACTTTATTTTTCACTGATTTCAATTGAATTTTTATTTATTTTCAGGTAACTATTGGCATTTAACAATTTACCAACCGCAACAGCTTATTTGCAACACCAACAGGTATTTAATATAAAACAAATTTAACTCCATTGAGCTTTTAGGAATATAAAGTACAGGGAAATTATGGAAAATCTGAGGGAATAAGCTTTGCTAGAATTTTCCCCAAATGAAAAGCTAAAAGCTCAGTGAACTTCACTCAAGGTGTTGGCGATTAATTTCCCACTCATTTCCCGCCACGATGAGACCTACATTTTCATTTTTTTTTTCGTGGTCCGCTTAACAGTGGCCCAAAGAACAACACAACAACATCGGGATGCGATGTTCGGCTAAAAGCCGAACGGTTAACAGGGCCAAAAGCAGCACGTTTTTAACCAAACCCACAGGGCCAAACGAGGCCAGTTTCACAAATCAAGCGGAGCGTTCGGTTCGATAGGTTGCCCCTAAAGAAAGTCAGTCGGAAGTCCTCAAAAGTGTCCCTTTCACACACAGAAACAGAGAGAGAGAAAAGGGAAAGTGCGCGCGAATTTAAATATTAATTGAGTGTGAGGCAAACTATCGGTTGGTCCTCTGTGCTGAGACATTTTCGAAGAGCAGCTAAGGTATTTATTATCACAATTTTTTCACTATAAAGAACATAAAATATATATAATATATTTATGCTTAATATTTATAATAACTCTTCAACTGCAGTTGATTTTACGGCTTGCAGGATACCTTCTGCTAGTAATAGAAATACTCCTTGGTTCTTTTAGTTGGGTAACATCTCAGTTCTGATTCCTTCCTGGTGACGCACACCATTCTGTCCGTGCCCATGAATAAATAAAACTTTTTGTGTGTGTTTCCTTCCTCACACCGAGTTGCCCCCTAAGTTTCCTATTTTTAACATAAAAATAACATAAAATCTGCCTGTGCTGGGCTCTGCAATTTTTTCTTCCTTCTCCGTGTAGTTGGTTTTGAAGTGTCATCAGTGGCGGAGAACGACTTAGTTTGATATTGATTTGGTATTTTTATCTTTATCACAGCTATTTGCATCTAATCAGCTTAAAATTGACGCCCAAACTTGGCATATTTGATTTTATTATTACGTACATCGGCATACGATGGTAATTATGGGTTTCCTTCAATGTCCTGGAATGAAATATTTATTCCGATTACATTTCTTTTTTTTTTCTGTGACCTTATTCGCTTTGTCATATATTTCATTCGGGTTTTCTTTTTTGTCGGTGGGTTCTTAATGATTGAGTGTTGATGTTGTTGGGTGAAATTTTTCTTTTTCAGTTCCATTTTTTTTTTTGAGCCGAGAGCTCTTTTAGCGTCCAATTTAATTAAGTGGCATTAAAGTAGGCGCCAGAAGGGATCAGGAAAAGCGCAGGAGAATGGTGGTGGATTAACAAGGGCAATGGTGAAGGCAAAAGGCTTTTCCTGTTTTTTTGTTAATATAATATATATACGTAAGGGATCATTAACCCGAGATATTTGTTTAAAAAAAGGAGTCAACGGAAGGGAACTAAAGTTAATCTAAAGGGTATTGTAATGAGGCGTAATTTTCGCTTAATTAAACTCTGTTACAATAAATATATTCAGAAATTACTGAGTTGGTTCTATAAATTTATCATTTTATGTATATCCAGAACAATTTTTAATAAACTAAAAATATATTTATTAATATTCCTACATTAATTATTTCTGGTAAATTAAAGAAAACTTATTTATTAGTATATTGTGATACAATTTAAATAGTATTAATATTAATATTATATGTAACTTATACAATTTTAATCATGTTTGGTAAGAAACTTTAATAGTCCTTCCAAAAATATAAGATGATTTTATTAAATATTGCACATATTAGTAAAGTAAAGACTTCGTGCTTAAAAATATTATTATAGTTTTATATATACATACATTTTTCCATTTTAATTATAAATTGTTAAGATTATAAAACATTAAAAGCTTTCAGAAAATAAAAGAAAAGAGAAAAAAATATTAAAATACCTGAAAAATATTACAGGATTAAGTAAAGTTCTTAAATGATAATAAACTTGTAATAGTAGGATCCTTATGGTTAGGGTTTCATAAATTCCATTTAATTATTCCTGAAAAGAATGTTTCACAAAGCTAACCAGCAGCAAACATAAATTCCTTTCATACTTTTAATATAATATTGTGTGACACAAAATAAAAATTCCAAAGCGAAATTCCTTCATGTACTTATATAGATATATATTTTTATGTATATATATTATTTTTTGTGTCAAACTAAGCCAAAGTTATTCGAAATACTTGCCCCCGAAGCCATCATATCCTGGGGCTCATCTGGTCCTCTTTCTCTTCCGTGCATCAGCTGTCCAAAGTTTTTGGCGAAAGGAATTTCATTAATGCCTTCTACTTTGTGCCCCCGAAAAAGAATTTGTTTCAAAGCGCGACAAAAGCAAGAATTAAATATTCAATTTCAGCCGCGGCACAGAAATTGTCCTGGGCTAAAGTTCGTCACACCCGGAGGTATGTGCCGTACTATATGGCTTTCCCGGCGGAGTGCAAACAAACATGCCACATGCAACACGAGCTGAGCGAAAAAAAAACAGAGAAAACAAAAAGCGGAACTGGGAACTCTGCGGATGACACATGACCTACAACGTTTTGTTATTCCGCCAAAGGTTCAGTTCGCAGGTCTCTTTATATATATTCATTTTTTTATTTTTGTTGTACTTGGTTCTCTGTTTCACTTTTTATTATTCGGTGAAATATTTTTATGACTTGCTTTACGTGAGCTTCAGAGCCTTGTCAAGGATATATGGCTAATGCCGTGCCGCCTCTTTGGCCAATCAATCATTGGCAAGTCCCGCTTAGCGCATAATTTGAAATATAAACGAAAACGAAACAAAACGAGGGAGACGTTATGCAAATGCAAACACGACAGAGGTATTCCTTTTTCTTTTATTTAGTAAATCTTATTTGGAAATAAAATTAAACAAATGTGATGAATGGCAAGGAACACGAGCGGGGAAATATTTTGAGGAAAATAGATGTATATCTTTCTTGCCAGAAAAGGTTATTAAATGTGGTTTTTACAAAGAGATAACATTTATTTATGAAGCTTATGATTTATTGGGTTTAATATTAATTGTTAAATAAGAAGAATTACAGGAAATAAATAAAGAAGAATTCAGTTCTTATTAATACGTAAGAAAGTAAAAGTTTATTAAAAAAACTGCCAAGACTGCAGTTAATATTATCTTTAAAGCTAACTTTATATACAAGAACCCCTTTGTTTATTTTATTTTCTCTGCCGAAACCATTAATATCTTTGGTTAATGTTTATGTTCCGCTCGGAACCGGAACTCCCATCATCTTGCAAGTTAATTTTATGATCGAAATTAATGAGTTTCCTTTAAGCTCGAGTTGCCCGTATGACATGTTATCATCATCATCATTATTGTCTGAGAATATATGCTGAAGTGTGTACTTTTCAAACAATGTTTTATCTTGCCACATGACTGCTCAATATTTTTGCAATGACAATACCAAAAAAAAAAAAAAAATATATAAAAACCCCCAGCCCCTGCTTATACAGAGTTTTGTGTTTGGTAACTTTAATTTGTTATAATCCCCGAGGCTAGAGGGGACTTGAGGGTTGGCTGTGGGATCTCGGAGGCATTTTAAACAATCTGGCATACAGGACATCCTCACACTGCCAGAAAGTTATCAATTTCACAAAAGAAATCATTCAGACGCATAACAACAATACACACAGAAAGAGAGAGAGAGAGAGAGACAAGGAGGAAAATGTCCTGGCAGAGCAGAACATTTCATATTGAGTGTGTGTGTGTGTGGTATATACTCCTCCCCCTTGATACCCTGTTTATACAAATGTCAGGGAGCCCTTCATGCAGATACAGTGCTAACCAACAAATTGGAAACGTGTTTCCCCGTCTGTTGACACTGACTTTGACTTTTGTGTTTTGCGCATTCAGCTGGGCGGTAATTCAATTTCAGATATACTCATGGCATTTTGCGGCACACCTTTGTCAATTCTCATGTCTGTGGCTACACACACACACACACACCCTGTTATTTTCAAATCAATAGCTAGGCCCAGGACCTGGCCACAACTCGTCAAATTATAATGTAAAACTAGTCCAACTCTCGTGACATATTATGCCACCCCCTCTCCGTGTTGGTAGCCACATAATTAATGCCATTGGCAAACAGTTATTTTCCTGGCCAACTCGACCGCTTTAGGCCCCCTTCGTGTTTGCTCGTCAATCAGCGCGTTAAATTGTCGCCTCGCCAACTTGCGTTGCTCATACGCCGTGTGTTCCTCGTCCTGCAAAACGCAAACTTTTCGTTCTAGGTCTCGAGATCGAGCTCGAGGTCTGTGTTGACTTTGCATCTTTAATGGTTAGTTGGGCTCAAAAGCCAAACCAAACCCCTGGGGGCTTTGCAACGCATAAATTTGACTTACACTCGAGAGTTTGAGCATAGTTTTGGCCCCGTTTCTATGATGATAGAGTGTTTAATTAGAGTTAACCAACCGATTTGCGTTAAGGGAAATAGTTAAGGGTTGAGTTTGGATTCTCACTTTATGAGTAAATGAACTATTGGAAAACAAGGATTGTTGAGAAAATTAAATCGGGCTTAAAGGGGAGTTGGTAAAGTTTACTTGGCCATAGTTTGTGGTTTTATTAAGCCACAAATACTTAAAAGAACTGAAATGAAATCGGTAAATGAGTATACATATAAAGCAGGATTTAATCCGAGTTGTTAAATGGTTTTTTAACTTTTAGTTAAAGTTTAGACATAGTTTATGTCCTTATAAAATCCCAAGCAATTTAAAATGAATCCTTATATAAGTATATATCCAAGTCCTTGCTAAAGTTCATATCTATTTTCAACCTGAGCCCAAAAAAAGTCCATCACTTAGCTGGCTGCCCAAAGTGGTCCTTCTATTAATAAACCCATGACAGGACGCCTCGGCAGGCCCAATGTCCTGCAATTTAGTGGCGCACTTTTCACGGCACGCATTTGCCAGCTGGTGTTGGCCAGCTCAGTGTTGGCCATTTGTCTAACTGCTGCGACACCGTATTCAATTAAATATTGAAAGACGTGGCTAATAAATTACCCAATGTCGAAGAGAGGCCCACTCTGCGTGTCCGATCCGTACAATGTGAATTATTCAGTCGGTGCTCATAAATATAGCCCACATTAGGGGCAAATCGTTATAGATCTACAAATTGCCTAAATATTTAATAGCAATGGGTCTGGGATCCCTTCGAATGAATGTGGAACGAAAAGATTTATACGCCCCGTTGACAAGGCTCACGCACGTGTTTGGGTTTCGATTTTCTGGGTGCGGAGTTGGAAGTTGGAAAGGGAAATCACTCTGTTTGCTCGGCCACATCATAATTCATTTGTTTCGTCCCCCCCCAGAACAATGAGGCCTGAAAATGTAATTTCCTAAATCAGGCACAGGTCCATTGTCTGGCTGAAATTCAAATTCAGAATCAGAGGTGGAGGCGGAGATGGATCTGCTTTCATGCCTCCTGATTCGCAGTCAATAAAATCAAATTTATTTCAGTTAGGGATTTTCGGTCATTAA